AGTGGGTGACACAGCTTAGAAACCTGCCACAAGAGAAGAATCTGATAACCAGAAGAACAATGACCAAGAGCAAAACAAGAGACAGAGGTGCTGTGAATATTACTGAAGACTCCCCTGCAAAGGAGCAAAAGACTTTGCCAGCCTCAGAGTTCACTGAGGAAGACATCGAGAAAATGCTGGATACAGAATTCAAAACACTTGTTATAAAACTTCTTATCAATAATGAGAAGCACGTAAAGCAGGCACTCAAGGAATTTAAAGAATATGTTACACAGGAAATGAATCAAACGAAAGCTGATATATCAGAAATGACGAATACAGTATAGGAAATCAAAATTCCAATAACATTCTTTTCACAAATAGAAAAGAAACAAAGGTTCATCTGGAACCACAGAAGACCACAAATAGCTAAAGCTATCCTGAAAAACAGAAAACAAGCTGGAGGAATCACAATTCCAGACCTCAAGACATACTACAGAGCAGTGGTTATCAAAACAGTCTGGTACTGGTACAGGAACAGAGAAGATCAGTGGAACAGAACAGAAACACCAGAAGGGAGCCCACACATGTATAGTCAACTAATCTTTGACAAGGAAACTGAAAACAACCCAGGAAAAAAACCTGGTCTATTCAACAAATGCTGTTGGGACAACTGGAGAGCAGCATGCAGAATTAAGAAACAAGATCCACACCTGTCACATTTTATGAAAATCAGCTCTAGGGCCCAGCGCGATGGCATAGTGGTTAAGGTCCTCGCCTTGCATGCCCGGGATCCCATATGGGCGCCAGTTCTAATCCCGGCAGTCCCTCTTCCCATCCAGCTCCCTGCCTGTGGCCCGGGAAAGCAGTCAAGGACAGCCCAAAGCTTTGGGACCCTGCACCCGCGTGGGAGACCCGGAAGAGGCCCCTGGCTTCGGATCGGCATAGCATCGGCTGTTGCGCTCACTTGGGGAGTGAATCATTGGACGGAAGAAAGATCGTCCTCTCTGTCTCTCCTCTCTGTATATCCGCCTTTCCAATAAAAATTTAAAAATAAATCTTAAAAAAAAAAGAAAAAGAAAATCAACTCTAAATGGATTAAGGACTTAAATTTACACCCAGAAACCATCAAACTATTAAAAGAAAACATAGGAAGCACACTCCAAGATACAGGAACAGGGAAAGACTTCTTAGAAAAGATGCCTAAAGCAAAGGCAATCAAATCCAAAATGAATAAATGGGACTGCATCAAACTAAAAAGCTTCTGTACAGCAAAGGAAACAATTAAAGTGAAGAAGCAACCAACAGAATGGGAGAAAATTTTTGCACACTACACTAGTGATAAGGGACTAATATCCAGGATTTACAAAGAGCTTCAGAAACCCAGGGACAGCAAAAACAAAACAAAACAAAAAAACCCTGTAACAAAATGGGCAAAGAAAATGAACAGACATTTTCCAAAAGAACAGATTCAAATGGTTAACAGACATATGAAAAGATGCTCAGGCTCCCTAGCCAGCAGAGAGATACAAATGAAAACCGCGTTGAGTAACACCTAATTTCAGTGAGACTGGCCTACATTGAGAACTCAACTAACAACACCTGCTGGTGTGCATGTGGGGAGAAAGGCACCCTCCTTCACTGCTGGTGGGAGTGTAGGCTAGTACAACCACTGTGGAAATCAGTATGGAGAGTGCTTGAAAAATTGCAAATAAACCTGCCATATGACCCAGCTATTCTGCTCCTAGGAATATACCCAAAAGGAGTGAAATTTATATGTGAGAAGGGGATCTGTAATCCTATATTTGCAGTAGCACAATATACAATAGCAAAGACATGGAAACAATCCAGATGTGCGTCCACAGGAGAGTGGTTAAAGAAACTGTGGTACATCTACTCCATGGAATATTATTCAGCTGTTAAGAAGAATGAGATTATACTATTTAAAACTAGGTGGTCCCAACTCGAGACCATTCTGTTCAGTGAAATGAGTCAATCACAAGAGAACAAGTAGCTTATGTTCTCTCTTATATAAGGAAACCAACATGGAAAGAGTAACTTTAGTAATCAGATCCATACTGTTGCTTTTTGGCTTTTTTGTTTTTGTTTTTGTGTTTGTTTTGTTTTTGGCTGCATCCCATGTGTTTCAATGCTTTTTATTGCAGTTTGGTTTATTCCAAATACTTTCTTTGCTCTTTGCTCATGGATTACATGGTAGCATCATTTTTCCCAAGAGTCTTTTGTATTTCTTATTTGTCACCCATGTGGTTGACAAAGTGACCACTTTTTGGTTACTAAGTGACGTGTTTTTTTCATGGACAGTAATTTGTTGTTGTTGTTGTTGAGGCTGTTGTTCTAACTCATACCAGTTGTTGACCTTGTTTCACGGCTTCTCAATTATGGAAATGTATAATGATGAGCCCTGGGGTCTACCATACCCAGTTGTGTGGGTATAATGCAACATGCACCCCTGCTTCCAGATGAAAGATGGATTCCCAATGAAACTGCTGGATGTGTGTAGACAATGGGATGCTGGACTGTCTGACATTGTCTGTACCAGCCATGTCAGGGTACACCTAAATAAGTGACTGATGGAATTTTGATTCCTTGTGAAGGACTATACAATTGTAGTAAAATGGGGAAAATCTGTCGGGGGTGGGAGTTCGGGGGGAAATTCCAGTCTATACCAAATTGTACCACATAATTCAAAAATTCAAAGTAAAAAATATATATATATAAAGGGACATCAACCCAGTCTTACTGCCAATATCACATCACCTTCTCTTTCCTCATCTGTGTCAAATATCTAGTTACCTCGCACAAGAACAGCCTGGACAGGCACGGAGACTCTTCCCACCTCAAGATCCTTAACTTAGTAACATGTGCAGCGTTCTGGCTGTCATGTAACACTCAGAGGTCCCAGGAATCAGAACCTTTTAGGCCCCGATTCAGCTCACCACACGTGTGACACACAGTCTCACAAGAATCTGAACAGGAACATTTAAGAGACTTTAAAGCATTCAAAAGCTCAATTGTTGCGTCATCAGACAATCTCTGTAAGCCTCGTCTGCCTGTTCATAAAGTGAACACAGCAAAACCACCTTCCACAGTCGAATTCAGACCCATAGCTGAGTACTTTTAATAGTTATATTCCTGCTCATTATTCTTTTTGTTTGAAATTTTTCATATTTCTATCACGAGCAGAATTAGTTTCTTAAACTGAAACTCAAGGTCTGGGGTTGAGCTCCACTAGTTGGTGAATGCAGAATGTCAGCACAAGATGGAGTTTAGGGGAGACATTCATTAGAAAAGGAGCCAGAAAACTCAGAGGGAAACTGTGTTTGTGTATCATACACACCGATCTTACTGAAAATGTTTACTTGTTTTGGGCAAGTGGGTGGAAGATGATTACCATTCTCTTTTTGCCATAACAGCTCAATGCCTTATCTATAAAATCAAAGTACCTGTTCACAGAGCTGTTTTGAGGTCTACAACACATCAGATAAAACATTTATTACAGTATGTAGCATGACACAACATAGTATACAGCGTACGTTTCCAGAGCAGAACAAAAAACATCATAGAACACATGCAAACATCTCAGCACAGTGCCTGGCACGCAGTAAAGCCTTCATTCCCTTTCCAAAAGTGTTTAAATGACTCACCATTTCCTACTGAACAAAACACAGAGGCATCCAAAATCTACTTAGTCCTAAACTGTCTTTCCAGGCTCATTTCCTATTCCTTCCATCCTCGCGTTAACAGGCCTCCATCCTGCAATTCTCTCAGGTCCCTCTGAAAGAGCGTCACATCACACAGCTCTGGAGATTCTTCCAGGAAATAACAAGCTTACTCTCAGCTTCCCAGCTCCTATGATTCCGTACAGCACTTCTCAGAGAAAGAGGAACGGATTCGCACAGAGACTACGCTTTCTGTGTCTTCCTGCAGCGAAGCAAGCTCTGAAAAGGTAAAACTGTTACGTGCCACATTGCGTGTGCATTTTCAACTCCCAGACCAATGCTGAGCACAGCGCAGGCACGCAGCATTTTAGTAAGAATATTTATACACAACTCTTAGTTACTATCTTCAAGCTGAGATGCCCCTTCTGCCTCCTGCAAACACCCCGATTCTACTTGGTAGAACCTGCTGTTCTCTCAGCTCTAACACACTGCCAGTTTTCTTCAGTTTTCATTTTGCTCCAATTTCTAATTACTGCTATTCTGGTTTTTCTCCCAGCTCTAAACTAAAAACTCCATCATGGAAATGTCTGTGCCCCAAAAATTGTTTATTTGTGAGACAGAAAAAGAAATTGGGGACAGGAACAGAGAGCCCCCAATTACCGTTTCAAACACCTGTAAGAATCAGGGTTGGGCAAGGTCAAAGCTAGGAGCTTCGAATTCAGTCGGCTGTCAGGGACCTTAATCCTTGAGACATCCCACGATTCATTAGTGTGCGTATCGGCAAGAAGCTAGCATTAGGAGCAGAACTGCACCCAGGCACTGTGATGTGAGACAGAGGTGTGCCAAGTGGTATCTCTACGCCTGTACCACACGCTCCCCTATTCCTGATTTCTGTCATATACCATGCTGCCTCCTTACCCCTCAGTTACTCCCTGACAGTACCACACCACCACCAAATGAACATGTATGTTAAATGGGGTAGACGCTTGATATCAGTTGGGCTGTTTGAAGGACTTTCCATAATGAGAAACGAGGCACAAGGATGAATAAAATACTACAGCTACTTTTAAAAACAGATGTAAAATGGTAACCATGCAGAAGAAGAGTTAGAGAGGATATGACAAATTGTTTCCTTGAAACCCCATTAACAGGATTACAGGCTTCTAAAATTTAGTAGTCTTCACTTTCAAGAAAAGAATTTCAAAGCGTTTTAGCAAGGAGCACTTCTACAAAACCCAAGGTGATTGGCTAGCGGACAGCTTTTCGCTCCAGGGTGGTGCTTTATGATGTCACAGATGCCCGGCCTGCTGCCTATGTTACAATGGTCACCTGTGTGCATTTCACTGTGTTTGTCTTGCTGGCTGGCAAGCGTGTCTGATACACTTCGGTGAACCACATTCTCTAATACCCAGGCTCTGACCTGAGTATTATCTAATTACCTGACGATCTGTCTCTGAGCATTTTTTTAGATACAGATCTCTCTTTTTTCCAGTTGATAAGGACAAATGTGTAATCAAAGACTGTCCGTGATTTTTCCCTTGCTGTTTATCTGCTTCTTCAGGGAAAGCTTCTGCATCTGTGATGGAACCACTTGGACAAAAGTTGGCTGGGAGATTTTTCCAGAAGAAGTATATTATCTGAAAGTTAGTCCTTCTCCATCTCACTGTCTGCCTTACCCTCTCAACAAACTATGCTGCAATTTTGCTAATATGGATATTTTACAGAGCTGTTTACACGTGACTTCTATTTTAGTGCAAACTCTCGTTCTAATCCTGTCGGTTTTATCTACGCACTACCTGTGGGTGAAATGGAAGAAACACAAAAAGAAGGTAAGTAGCTTGTGTAGACTGCAACACAGAATCTCAGGAGTTTAGAAGATACGGTTTTCCGTTTCTTTGAGAGGACCATTCTTCTTCTCTTTATAGCCTCCTCCTCATTCATCTCCAGTGTCTATCGGGTGCCTTGCACCTACCACATGCTTGAATAAGAGTATACTGAATTATTAATTATTTTAAACCACCTAGCTACACCCCCAAAAAGCGTTGAGCCGGGTGAGTAAAAGATAACAGGAAATGGTGCCATCTGTCCATGTCCCTAGGTAATTCATGAGAGCTTTCTCAACTGCCTCGTCTATATAACGAGGGGTGAGAACAAGGGAACTCTTAATTCATTCCAAGTCTTTTGGAGAAAGGTTTACTTATTTTTATTGGAAAGGCAGATTTACAGAGAGAAGGAGAGAGAGAAAGATCTTTCACCCTCTGGCTCACTCCCCAAATGACAGCAATGGCAGAACTGAGACAATTCAAACCCAGGAGTTTCTTGCTGGTCTCCCACGTGGGTGGAGGGTCCCAAGGACTGGAGCCACCCTCTTGTGCTTTCCCAGGTCATAAGCGGGAAACAGATGCGAAATGGAGCAGCCGGGACATAAGCCGGCACCCATCTGGGATCCTGGCGCTTAACATGTAAGATTAGCCAATTGAACCATCATGTCGGGTCCTAAGGAAAGTTATTGAAGAAATTTGACATGTAGGATTTTAAAGGACCCTAATTTCTAATGGAGAGCTTGGGCTAATTGTCAGTTTGCCAATAGATGGTGCTATGGTTTGAGGCAACCTTAAACAAATCAACCCCCAAAAAACCTCACGGAGAACTTAACGATTCAATATTTATAAATGCTTACAGTTTCATGGTTTCAGCCCTTGCACTGCTCAGCAAAGGAGATGATTTTGCTAAAATTAAAATGATTTATCCCATAACTGTTCTAATCACTTGAAGCACTAATATATACGCGGTATATACAAAATATATGCACTAATATATACGAGGTATATACACAATAGTATTTCATTGGCACTTAGACCTTTCTTCCATAATTACCTTCCTCTGACATCAATACTTGATGCGCGCTGCTTTAGTGCACCTTATGTATTCAGAATACACATTTGAGCAGATAAAATCTATTCTCACTTGTTTTCCTCTTTGTAGATGAAAGAACAAGCTTGCCTGGATAAAGCTGGCAAGGAGCTGCACAACCCGTCCGTTTATGACATTGACCAACTGCTCTGCAAGCTGGTGGCGACCACATCGATGATGACCAAGTACCTGAACCAAGTGTCCCAGCGTTCCTCCTCCAAGAAAACCAAGCACCGCAAATCCAAGAAAAAGAAGTTTGAAGGCGCAATGGGCTACTAAGCCCACGGCCGACCCTGCGCGCCACACGCCGACAGTCAGGAGAGACCTTCCAGAGTTCTTGGGGGAACTGGTCGTGTTTTATTCCACACTCTACTGACATTTTCCAAAGAAGACTGGATTGAAATGCTATTTCCAATCAACTATAAGAGATTCCATAGTTAACTAAAATCCTGGGGGAAACGATTGTGTATTCTCACTGCTGCATGTTCATGTATTTTCTTCTTTCCACTATGTTAGATGACTAGTCATCCCTCTTTTTAATATGTTAGGTCATTAATCATTATTACTATTGCTTAGTTTAGTACTTCAATAAATCTCTGAATAGCATCTGTGATTTTTTTTTTCCCTGAGCAAGAATGTAAGGCCACAGGAAAATTTTTAATTTCAAATCTCAGGTGATTTAAAAAGCATGGGAATATTACAGACCACTTTTTAAAAATATGAGTCTCTCCATTTTAAATGAAGAATTACATATCAACATTTAAAAATTTTTAAGACTTCTGTTAACAAGACACCTCAATTTAAAAAAAAAAAATGATTACTCTATTTTCCAAAAAGTTAGCAGATGAATATATAACACACACAGAAAGTTTGGGCTTTTTCATCTTTACTGCAGATTCAGCATAGTTCATAATTACAACTCGTGAACACAAATACTTGTTCTCCCTCCCTCTCCTTTATTTTTCATTTTTGAGACAATGTTTTTAATGTACATTGTGATAAAGAGTTTAATGTTCCGTTAAGTAAAGGTTTAACAAGTAAAAAGCAAAAAGCCTAGTGAGAATATAGGCAAAGACTATAATAACTGGATGGCAAGATGGCCATTTCGCCCGTTCACAGTGAATTTTAAGATAATCATCACAAGCCATGAAAGTTACATGAATGCGACATTAATCATTGGTTTGACAAAGGTATAAAACAAAGATTGAAAAAACTGTACTTGCAGCATTGCTGATACACAAAGGAATTCCTTCCTTTTTTAGAGAAGTTTAGCTGCCACCGCTACAGGAGCACAAGCAACATTTCTGGGTCTGGCTTATTTCATGCAATATCATGTCCTCCAGCTACATCCACTTTGTGCAAATGATAGAATCTCAATCTTCTTACTGTTCCACTGTGTATATAGACCACACTTACTGAATCCAGTCATCCGGTGCTGGACACTTGGCACGGATGCTTTGCTGCTGAGTTTACACCGCTGCTTTATACACCAACACGCATCTCTTTACTACCAGGTCTTCCTGTCTTTGGGGTCCACACCGGTTTAGTCATCAAATCTATTTCTACAAACTCATCGCGGTTACATTAATTTAAACTGCCATCCATTTGTATAAATATTCTCCTTTCTCCACGACCTTACCAACATTTGTTACATTATTATTATTATTATTGCCATTTTGACAGGGGTAAGATGGTACCTAATTGTAGTCTTGATTTGCATTTTCCTTACGTTTAGTGATATGAGCTTTTTTTTTTTCATATATTTGTTGGCTGTTTTTAATTTCTTCTTTTGAAAACTCTCCTGAAGTCCTTTGTCCATTTCTTAACTGGATTGGTTGGTTTTTTGCTTGTAAATTTTCTGAGTTGCTGATAAATCCTAGATACGAATCCCTTGTTGGAAAGGTAGTTCACAAATATTTTCCCTCTCTGTTGGGTGTTTTATGCTGATCATTTCCCTTGCTATGCCATTTGTTTAGTTTTGCTTTTGTTGCCTGCACCTTATGGATCTTATCCAAGAAGCTGTCTCTTACGCCAGTGTCTTAGAGTGTGTCCTCTATATTTTCTTCCAGCAGCTTCATGGTCTCGGGCTCATTCTGAGTTGATTTTTGTATCTGGTAAGGGGTATGGACTCTAGTTTCAGTCTTCTGCAAATATACATCAAGGTTTTCCAGCACCATTTGTTGAAATTATCCTCACCCCTACTGGAGAGTAAGATTCCCCAGGCTGGAGTGGAAGTCACCAGGTAACTGGAATTCTCTCTCAGCCAGAGCTGTGCTGGTGGTAGGGCACGTGGCAATATATTCCTCCCATAACTTAGTAAGATAGCAGCTCCCACACAGCAGCTGGCTGCACCGCACGCCCTGCTGCAGTGACTCCCCCCCCACACACACACAGCTGGCTGCACCACGTGCCCTGCTCCAGTGACTCCCACACACAGAGCAGCTGGCTGCACCGCACGCCCTGCTGCAGCGGCTCACCCCCCCCACACACACACACACAGCTGGCTGCACCATGTGCCCTGCTGCAGTAACTCCCACTTACACACAGCTGGCTGCACCGTGCGCCCTGCTGCAGTGACTCCCCCCCACACACACATACACACACACAGCTGGCTGCACCACGTGCCCTGCTGCAGCGGCTCCCACACACACAGCAGCTGGCTGCACCGCGCGCCCTGCTGCAGCAGTGCCTCTGTCCCTCCTCCTGACCCAGGGACTGGTCACTTCTCTACTCAAAATTTCCGTCAGACTCCTAGACACACGGCCCCTCCTTTGTTCTCATAACTCCAGGCAGCTAAAGTCTGCATGGCTACACTCTATTCAATCATTTTGGATCTGAATTTTTGATTTAAAACATCTTGAGAGGCAAGTGTTAGGGCACAGTTGCTTAAAGCCCACACATGACACACACACACATTTCATGTAGAGCACAGGTTTGAGTCCTAGGCCCTCAGCTTCTCATCCAGCTTCCTGTTGGTGCACCTGGGAAGCCAACAGACGAAGGCCCAAGTGCTTAGATCCCCGCCACCCAAGTGAAATACCGATATGGAATTTCTGATCTCTGTTTCCATTTGATCTAGCTCCTAACTGTTGTTGAAAGCATTTGGAAGCAAGCAAGCAAATGGCTTGTGCATTCTTACTCTCTCTCTCTCTCTCTCTTTCTCTTTTTCTCTTTTTCTCTTTTTCTCTGGCTTTCACATAAATAAATCTTTTCTGGGCCCAGTGCAATGATTCAATTGGCTAATTCTCCCCTGCAACTGTTGGGATCTCATATGATTGCCAGTTCATGTCCCAGATGCTCCGCTTCCCATCCAGCTCCCTGCTTGTGGCCTGGGAAAGCAGTCGAGGACGGCCCAAAGCCTTGGGACTCTGCACATGGGAGACCTAGAGGAGTCTCATGACTCCTGGCTTCATATCAGTTCCACTCTGGCAGTTGCAGCCATCTGGGGAATGAAATAGCAGATGGAAGATCTTCCAGACTTTCTTTCTCTCTGTAAATCTACATTTCCAGTAAAAATCTTGAAAACGTTTTCAACAAACACACCATATTTTTACTACCTGCCATTGTTATGGGGGAAGAGGAGGACTAACAGTCCTTAGAACGGCTAACAGCTTCATCACTAATTAAGTCTCGTCCTGGGCAGCTATGGCTGACTGCCTCCATTTTCTGCACTCCCCTCCTTACCGCCTTCCATCCCTGGTACAGCTCCAATCCCACAATCCCACACATCTTTGTTCCATTCCCTCAGAGTTCTCAACTGTCAATGGATTCCCTGTAAGACAACATTAACGTACTTTTTTAACGGGCACTCTTGAATACTTAAAAATAACAAAAACATGCACAGGGCTCTAAAATCCAAAGAAACTTATCTCAGATCGTGAGAATTTCCGTGGTTTGGGGGAGGCTCTGGGATGGTGAGTCCTCGGTCCCTTGCAGCTTTCCAGGTGGCTGGCATTCTGACCACAAGATTGGAATTGAACGTGATGCAGATTCCTGGCAAGGTGTAAGCTAACTTGCAGGCTGAGTGCTTCCATGTCTGACATTAGCATGAAGCTGGACCCCAGCGTGAGTCACGTTCCATGACCCCTACAGCACACTGTGGTTGAACGAGACTTGGCTCCCCAAATTCGTGCAGATGTTTAAATCCTGCAGGCTGACAGGTTAAAGGCCGGAGACTGGATCTACCGAAGGCCTCTGGTGGGTGAGCCTGGTGCGAGGCCTCCAGGTCATTGAGGGGCTTGTCTTGATGCAGGTGGGAACGTGAGCTGTCCAGTTTCAAGTGTCACCCTCTGCTTCCTGTGTCACCATGTGACGACTTCTCACACAAGTTCTGCCCTCCACCAGAGGCCACCCAGTCTTGAACTGTGAACTCCTAAACTACAATCCAGAATAAATCTTTTCCTTCACAAGAAGCTCCTTTCAGGTTAACACACAAAGCTTGCCTGCTCTGCCAAATTTGTTTCATTACAGCCTTTCTGACATTGTTGAGTAGCAGCTCAGTGTGTCTGTATCATTCATTCTCCGCCAAACAAAAGCCCAGAGAGTAAGAAAACTCAATCGCACCTACAATAACCTGTGCTCTTCGTGGTCTCCCGGGGGAGATCCGGATGGAGCTCCTGTGCCTGCACTCAGCCTGGCCCTGCCCTGGCTGCTATGGGCATGCCAAAGTGAACCAGCAGATGGAGGAGATTTTTTTTTTAATTTATTTTTTTAATTTTGACAATCCTTACATATTTAATTGGGGTAAAAAAGGTTCAAGGCCTAAAGGGGGATATAAAGGAAGAAGCCCCACCCAGTTTCCCACCCACCCTAAGTCCTAGATGTGGGGCATGCTCTGAGATACTCGATCAAGTGGTTCCAATAGTTCACCATTCATGGGTCGCTGCCAGTCTCGCCACTCCAAGCACGATGTGGTCGTTGAAGAGTCCATTGATTGACACAGTCCCTTCTAGAGTCTCCATTTGCCCAGTATTTTGCTGCCAACAGATAGCTGAGGTTGTTGCTTGACTTGTTCTGTCTTTTCTTGGTTAGGACTCTGAGTCCGGTGTCTCGACTGGGGAGATCCTCAAAGAAATTTTGAGGTATTCCCAGTCCAGATTCCTGCATGTTCTAGTAAGCATAGGGCCCGGCACAGTCCATTGCCCCGATCAGCTGGTGGTTGCAGTTGCTGGGTCAGTTCTGTCTCCACCCGTGTCCTCTTGCAGTCCCGCCTGGTTCCACCCTGGACGCACTTGTCCCTCGCACGTACCAGTAGGAGTTGCAGCCCAGTCAGGGCGGCCCACAGTAATCCCAACTAGGCCAACCCCCTACCCTGGCTTGCCAGTATGTATGGCATACTAGTCCAGTCTGTCCCAAATACCCTTCTGTTCATATACTTGCCAACAGGTGTTGCAACCTACTTCCATCCAACCATCTCATCCAACTGTCCCTAACGGATGTTGTTGGGTGTCTGTCTAGCCACCCCAGCCCCTGTCCTAGTTCCC